AMTWTTWACTRTYAACAGTCGTCTAGTGTTTGATGTCTAAGCTCATTCAAGGGTTAAGATATTAAAATCAAATTAGCCCGGCATGTTTTCTCCAAATCTTTTTTATTGCACGCTAATAACTGGACCCAACGGCATAAGTATTTTACAAAACCGATCCTGCAATGAAACGCAGTGAGATCCAGGCATCGCGCACGACCTACAATAATTATGAATAACTCAACGTCTTGACGTAGTTAAAACTTAATGGTCTGAATTGACAAGTAGTCTCAGAGAATGTCGCTGATCGAAAATTTAGCGACATAATCGTTGGTCAGCCACCGTTAAAAAATGTCCCTCAAAATGTTTTGTTCCCATAGGGGGATAAATTTTTTCTGACATTTTTGCGCAGAGAGAGAAAGAAAATCTATCCTTCGATAACCAGCGTTGATCACATAGTTTATTTATTAGTCACAGTTCTATTTTGAGGCATACGTCAGGGGTTTTACCTTGCAAAGTGTGCAAAAGTCTAATAACACTATGAAAGCAGTGGAGTTGATCCCGGACACCGTCGTCTAGATTTCAATGTTTTCTCCAAAGAACATGTCTTCGGACGACGGTAAGTTGGAAACCCAATCTTAAGTACTTTCCACTTCAATACCTTTTAGATATATTTGGAAAACTCTCAAACTGAAATTTTCACACTTGCTCTAAGCAACCGACTTTCTTCATACTGAGTTTTCCAACTGGCTTTCGTCTCAGTTCCCGTTCAGGACTGACAATGGAGTGAACCGAAATGTCTCTTTAACTCGAATTTTTTCGCTGAACGCTCTGCCAGAGAAGCATTCCGATGGTTCTTAAGGAGATCCTGGAAATGAACAAGGAATGCAATGGCTCCACAAAAGAGCAGTGTTCCCATTACTCTCCAACCGTTGACTGATTCTACGTAAGACCGCCTCGTCTAGTTTTTCTAGTAGTGGATCATTTCCCGGTTTACAAACAAACATTGTATTGGCTCGTTGTTTTCACCTTTAATGAGCAGCTTAATGGGCATGCAAAGCTTCAACTCATACGAAGACCTTCGATACATGTTAGGCGATCTTCTTGAAGGCGAAGGATGAGAAAGTTACTCATTAGTTCTTACAGTAGCCCCTCGCACTTAATCGATAGTTAATCACCGGTTCCCCCAGATAGCAAACCAATTTATATTCAAAACTGTCCCTCGGCAAAGCTTATTTTGAAACACTATTGTAAAAACACAATGTCACGATACATTGTCTCTATTCGCAACAAGAGACGTATACTTGGATGTTGTGTATGCTAGATCTGATTCAGTTTCAAGTTAAGTTATGGAAGACATTTCCATTCGTGGGCTCTTACGTCCACCTTGTGTGGCAGTTGACTCCATTTCTTTTTGGAAAATATTAGTTAGAGCGGCTCGCGCGGTTGCATTAATATTCAAATGCAATTGTTTTTATTTCAATGATGACGCGCAAGTCTATCTATTGAAATTTGACTGATTGTGAAAGAGTGAATGTGTTACGTCTAACTGATTGTTTTCAGGAGTTAATATAGGAGAATTATTGTATGTGGAAAAGTTAAAGAGAAAACGGAAAAAAGCATTCATTTAAAGACTTCCGTTCTCACGCTCACACCACAAATTATTTTGGGATGCACAATAGGGTTCTGCCCTTGGGTCACAAATTCGAAACTAAATACAAGTTACTAACAAAAGAGAGCAGTCACTCTTCAGCAGTTCTGCAGAAGGAATTTTTTCGGTTGGGCGGGTTACGTAGTACTGAATATTTTCATGTATTTACAAACAACGAAATGTTAAAAGAGTATTAGAGTATCAGTAGGTATGAGTAATAGCCTAGTAAACTGAGCAAGGATAAGATTATAAGGCGCAGTTGAATTTACATAAAGAATCTTTCCGCTGCGACGCTGTTTGCTAAAATCCGAATTGCTAAATATAAATCTTCTTTTTGTTAATTGCCTACGTTGTTTGTTTGGTTTTTTTTTTGTTAGGCTCAAGTATTAGCGACACGAGTTCGGATGCTTCCTCACTCATTCCGGGTGAGTATTTTTTTTTTCCATAATAAAACCACCTCAGAAAATGCAGTTGGAAATTATGACCACTAAATTTTTCCATAGCACAAGACACTTGAAATCTGCTCTTCAAAGTTTCATTTAGTCAAGTCCATAATTTAGCTAATTCTTTGAAAAACATGAGAAACGTTGCTATGGACTAAGAAATACCCTTAATTCCCCAGAAGTTGGAAAATATCAATTATTTCTCATCAACAGTCCTTTTTTAATAAGGTTGGAGTGAATTAAAATTTTTAGTATTTGGTTTTTAAACTGTGTAGAAACCAATCCCTCGCCTGGCCCCAGTCCGAGCGCATAAATAGTATAAATAGCTCCACTTTCGCGCGCGTTCTAAAATTTGCAAGGACTTCTTTAATTAAAGGACGACCAACGTCAGTTCTTTAGGTAGTATTCCCAAATCGTCAGGTATTGTCTTCTATCTTCGCTTGTTTCTTATTTCATCGTGTGTTATCCGCGTTTCCTATGTTATTTCATGGTTGTAATTGGTTGTTCCGCTCTTAATGTATAAAGTCTGTAACCTTCATTCTAGAAACCACTGGCAATTACATGTTTACTAAGAGTTTAAGAATATCAAATTTCTTTACGCCTTCGAATATTAGCTGGTACGTTGTTAACAAACTGTATTCTTTTTCTTTTCCAATAACATTTTTGTTTCTGAATGTCAACTCAAACTGATTTTTGTCGCTATTTGGGAGAGGGCTCCGTTCGCGTTGGGGCCTCTCAATTTCCTTTAACCCAAGCTGAAGAAGCTTCAGCTGTACTTTTCCGCGAAATGACGTTAGGCGAAAGTGGTGAAAAAGTTTTTGAAATTTCTGAGCCGTTATTCATGCCTTTCTTATGGCTACTAGGGGGACTGAAATCGAAACGTCGCTCACTGGAAGATTGTAGACGTTGCTAAGTGAAGGCTGTTTACTCCCGTAAAGCTTTTAGGGAACTTCCAAATTCAAACAACTTGAAATGAATCATACGACCTAAAGATACGACATAAGATGGCATATTATCTTAAATGATGTGGTTTTTCTTAATATGGTAATAAAAAAAATCAGTGAAACTCTACTTAGAAGTTGTGATGCATCGCTGCGAGTAAACTTTTACTGTATATTCTTGATCGCCGTGAATGTCCTTCCAAATACTCAAGAATTAAGCTTACTTTGTAGACGAACAATCTGGCAGTAGACCCTCGAGGAAACGGATCCAATATAAAATAAACGTCAAAAATGTTACTGGCGCTGTTGCTGTTGGACCTCATGCAAGTGCGGGGATCAAAGGTAATTAGAAATAACTGAAAAGAAACCGAGCACACGTTATGATGATGATGCCCATCATATTAGAGCATTCAATACTGCTGAAATATCGAAGACAGGTATCAATTAAATCTCCCTTAAGCCTCTGTCATCTTAACCCCGTATACTGCTCTTATTATTGATATTATCATACAAGTAGGTCAATAGGAAGAAAAGGATTAGCTTTTCGTGAGAAAGGGTATGTCACGCAAACATCCGTTTTCGTCATTACTGCTCTTTTCGTTTCCGTTCGAGGGGATAAAAAAGGCGCTTGGCGGAAC